TTTCTTTCTTTCTTTCTTTCTTTCTTTCTTTCTTTCTTTCTTTCTTTCTTTCTTTCTTTCTTTCTTTCTTTCTTTCTTTCTTTCTTTCTTCTTTCTTTCTTTCTTTTCTCTTTTTCTCTTTCTTTTGGCCTAGGGTGCTATTCCCATCTCGTCTTACCTAGATATCTCTTGCTTATCACTTTAGGTGTCAACTTAAGTATCACTTTTCTGTTTCATTTAAGTCAATCTGCTTTATGTTCTTACATTGTGTTTGTACTTGGAAATGAAAATTCAAGTGTATTAAAAGTATGGTTTTCTTAGTGGCCTATACTGAGCTCAAGCAAGGCATTGGTCGTTTTCATTTGAAAGGTAACAACCTACTTGAAGGATCATCCTCTCAGCTTTTAATTCCTTAAACATTTGCCAGATGACCCATCCATAAAGCACTGTTGTACACCCTGCAAGTGATAACAGATGAACAAGACATTGTCCCTTTCCTCAAGAAGCCACAATATTGTGGTGGAGACAGACTCGTGCACAGTTCACTATCATGCTAATCATAATGTGACAATTGCCTCTATAGAAGTTAGAAAATGTGCTATGGGAGTGTAGAAAAGGATTGTCATCCTGAGTGTCATCATTGTGCCAGGTCTACAGATTAAAATCATCAGAGAAATACAATTATCATATGATCTCACTGATATGTGGAATTTAAGAAACAAAACAGAGGATCATAGTGGAAGAGAGGAAAATATAAAACAAGATGAAACCAGAGAGGGAGACAAACCATAAAAGACTCTTAATCATAGGAAATCAACTGAGGGTTACTGGAGGGGAGAGGGATGGAGGGATGGGGTAACTGGGTGATGGACATTAAGAAGGGCAGTGATAGAATGAGCACTGGGTATTATATAAGACTGATGAATCACTGAAATCTACCTATGAAACCAATAATACATTATATGTTAATTAATTGAGTTTAAATTTAAAATGTTAAAAAAATCATAGTTGGAAAATGCTTTTGGAACTAGAATTATTTATAGACTTGGAATACGCTTTAGCCATAGAACTCCAACTGCATTCAACTGACTCAGCTTTCAGAAAGGGCCAGAGGAGCTACCTTGCCAGATAACCTGTGGAGTATTGACATCCCAGGAGCCAATTTGCCATGCTTGGTTTCAGAGAGGTATGGGGGAAAGACCCATGTTCAGGCTGGAATGTAATTAACGAGAACACCAAAATATTTATATACAGAAATACTTATATCTTCACTGTTGCTTTGTTTTTCTGGATTAGTTTGGATGGTTCATAAGATGGTTCAAACATCTGTTTGTTGTCAGTGGGAGGGGAGCTCCAATCTAGCTGCACTCCTATAGCCCTGACAGTGCTGCTCTGGACTCGCAGCTGGGCTGCTAGGAGCAGGGAGCTCCCTATGCAAGGAAGCGCTCTTACCCATTGATGGTGTACTTATAGTGAGTACAAAGTGAAGTGTGAGATGTAGTTTGATTTTTTATTTTCACTTATTTAAATGTATGAGTCTTGGGTAATTTCTGGAGTTGGAATATATGAAATTAAGTAATGGAGTTTATGTAGCACAGAGGGAAAGAGGAAAGCCAAGCATACCTTCTTGATATCTGGCTTGAGCAAAGGGTAAAGAGTGATGCCATATATGAGACCAGGGAACATGGGGGGAAGACAGGTCTGAGGTATTGGGGAAATCAGATGTTCATTTCTGGCTATGCACTTTTGAGAGGTCTATAAATTTCCTGAATAGAGTGGTAGAGCAAGCACGTAGATCTAGGGGAGGTCTGGAGCCCCAGGGAATGCTCAGGGCCAGAGATACAGATTTGGAATCAGCTGCATAAACTGCCATGAGTTCATGTGTTAGGTGGTTATCATTATAGACTATTTATAAGGATATTTTTAATGGTGAAAATGCATCCAAGAAATTCTAAAGTTTTTTTTTTCTTTTCAGAAATAGTCCCAAGAGATTTGAATTTAAAAGACAAATTCATAAAGCATTTCACAGGTAAGCACAAAATTTATCAGTGATTCAATTAAATAAAAAGATTGTATGCAAATTATTGTGTTAGGCATTAAGGATATGAAGGTAGGTGTCCATAAGAAGTTCAACAGTCCAGCTAGGAAAGTGGACAAATGCCATTAACTTGTATTAATAGTAATATAAAACAGATCTTGGTAAATAATAGAAGTGTAAATATAGTTTTAGGGATGCACAGAAAGTGAATAATTTTGCCAAAAACTACCAGGAAAGGCTTGTAGTGGACATGATATTTAAGTTGGGCTCTAAGGGATGAATAGTATTTTCCTGGATAAGAGAAGCATTCTGGTCAGAAGGAATTCTTTGAGAACATGGTAGTTTGGGGGCAGGACAGGAAGATGGTGTGGATGCACTGTGGGGTAAGTTTAGGTAAGGGTGTATGTGGCCACTGGACAAAAGTATGGCTGGAAATGTAGGTTGGAGTCATATTGTGAAGAATCCTAAAACTGAAGAACAGAAAGTGGGAACCAAGGATATTTATTTTTTATTCTTCACGTCTACTTGGTTTGGTTTGTACAATTTTTATTTTTCTGTCTAGAGCTTTTCCCCTCTTAATTATTCTAAAGAGTTCTTCAGAAACTGAAGTTTCCATTATGTGAAATGGTGAGAATTGGTAATGAATTCAGATGATTTTTCACAGATTACAACTTACGGAGTCTCACAGAGCTAGGGTAAGGAGTCAGATAAGTTCTTTTAAGGGCATGGAAGGATGTTAAGTTACAGTTGTATTAGTTCCATCCATAAAGTGCTAGCAAATTTGTTTGGAAAACACGCTGATATTTATCATAAACGTTCTTTTCCTGTCTAATAGGGCCAGTCACATTTTCAGCTGAATGTAGCAAACATTTCCATCGACTCTATCACAACACCAGGGATTGCTCAACACCAGCTTGTAAGTAGTTTGGATAGTTGGGGTTTTTTTCCTCATAAAAAAAAAAAATCTTTACCCAACAATAAATGCATGTAATTTTAAACTTCAACTGTCTGCGGCTGGGAATAGACTAAACATTGTATGAGATTCTATTTATAACATTGACAGTACTTAACTGAAGACTTGTGTGTGCTGTTGAGAGTGCAAGGAATGGAACTGCATTGTAATTAAGACTATATCCAAATCTGAAAATAACCAGATTTCCTTAAGGACTGAAATGTTTGTTAGGATTTAAACCTTTTATCATTTTTCAAATTCCTTGGCATAAAGGGCTCTGTCATATAAATGAAAAAAAACTAAGATGACCATGAAGAATACGTCAAAATTTCCTCTTAAGTTATTTTAAAGTAAATAGTTTCATATCATTTATACAATGAGTGATCGATTGTTCTGAATAATGGTAGCATAGTGCTTTAAAGGTGGCTGTAATGAATTCTTTTGGACACTTAAGTTACCAAAGTTAATAATTTCAAATGTAATATTTAAATGCTATCATCAAAACTGCCCAAATTGGGATCATGTGTGGTAACTCAGTTGGCTGTTTTTAAATTCCTTTCTAAATCTAAACTTCCCTTTTAAGGTAAATGGATTTTAAGCATTTTGTTTCTTTTTAACTAGATTGGTCATCTTGAAGCATGTTTAATTTTACTCAGGATGTGGAATCAGAATTGTTTTAATTTTTTCAAAAACTGCTTGTGTTCAATGACTAAGGGAAATTAATCACACTGGAATCAAAGCAAACTGACTAAGTGGTAGCACAGCATAGTGGAGAAAGCTTACTCTTTGAACTTAAGCTACTCATTAGTTATGAGATTCTTGACATTTGGATGCTGGTTTTTCATCTCTGTCTCTAAAGTGAGGGAACAGTAACATCTATCTAATTGTGTTATGAGAATTAATGAGAAAACTCGGGTTAAGCATTTGTTGTGTTGGGTGCTTATTAAATCTTAGCTCTCGTTATTAATTAGTGACAATAATAATATGGTTTTCCTATTTGTGGTAACTATATACATAATTTGACCTTAAATGTTTTTTCTAGATTACAAGAGATGTGCTAGATTGCTAACAAGATTAGCAGTGAGTCCCCTGTGCTCACAGACCTAGAAGATTTGCCTTATGAGTATGTATTTTTTTTATTTTTCTTACTCTGTTTAATAAGTTAACTTTCTTAAGAAATTTTGAACTATTTAAAAAGCCAGGTAGCTGATTTTAGCAACACTTAATGAACTTAATCTGTGGATTTTTCACTTAGTGTTAAAGCTTGGTCTAAATGCATAGACTGCTTTATTGAATTATTTAAAAATGCCCTCAACAGTGATTAAATTAACTAAAATAAACAGCTTTTTGGCAGCCTTACCAGTCCTGAGTGATTTTTAAAAATATTTCAACTTTTGGGGTTATATAATTATTGTGCAGAAACCTTATGCAGATAGACATTAGATGAACAAAACTAAAGCTCTACCTTTTTTTTAACTGGTCAAAAGATATAATAAAAGTAGCACTGCGTTCTAAAATTTTTGTTTATGCAGGATACATAAACTAAAAGAGAGAAAGTATTGGAAGAGTAAAGGAAAAAACAAGGGATCAAAAATATGATGAATATGTAATCATCATCAGTTCTCACATATACTTTGCCAGAATGAAATGGTAAGTCAGAATTTTCATTCTGGCTAAATTACCCTAGGAGCCCTAGGGCAATAAAGTATTTGGATAACCTAAATAAATCTAATGAAAAATATAACATTTATTTGCAAAAGTAGACTCTATACAAGAGACTGAAAGATATTCTGCCCCACCCCCCGCCGAGATTTTTCTGCTCAGCAGTTCTTTCCCAGGGCAGAACAAACCCAACACATTTTTGGGTCAGTGTTTCAGCACCACGGACAAATCCCTTTAAAGAAACAGTTTTTCACAGCTTGTGAGAGTAGAAATGGAAGTCATGGAATTTGTGCAGTATAGAAGTATCTACGAATATCTCCATTTGGCCTATGTAACTTAACCTACTCCAAGTAACTGCATGGGAATTTACTTAACTCATCTCACAGGTTCAATGTGCCAATTACTAAGACAACTCTGACTTCTTGTTGTTGCTATTTGTATTCTTATTTATTTATTTATTTATTTATTTATTTAATATTTTATTTATTTATTATTTGACACAGAGAGAGAGAGAGAGAGAGAGAGAGAGAGCGAGAGAAGGAATACAAGCGGGGGGAGGGGAGAGGGAGAAGCAGGCTCCCCGCAGAGCAGGGAGCCCGATGCGGGGCTCGATTCCAGGACCCTGGGACCGTGACCTGAGCCGAAGGCAGCCGCTTAACGAATGAACCACCCAGGGGCCCCTGTATTCTTACTTAAAAAGCAATTATAAATTAATAATAATAATTGGTACTTTTAATTCTGCATATTTACAGTTGCAAAATTTTAAAAATTCTCTCTCTTTTTTAAAGATTTATTTATTTTAGAGAGAGAGAGTGCAGCAGGAAGGGGCAGAGGGAGAGGGAGAGAGAGACTGAAAACAGATTCTGCACTGAGTATGGAGCCCAATTTGGGGCTGGATCTCACAAACCTTAGATCATGACCCGAGCCGAAACCGAGAGTTGGATGCCTAACCAATTGCACCACCCAGACTCCCCAAAAATTCTCTCTTATTTATTTATTTATTTATTTAGATTTTATTTATTTATTCATGAGAGAGAGAGAGAGAGGCAGAGGAAGAGGGAGAAGCAGGCTCCCCGCGGAGCAGGTAGCCTGATGTGGGACTCCATCCCAGGATTCTGGGATCATGACCTGAGAGTCGAAGGCAGACGCTTAACTGTCTGAGCCACACAGGTGCCCCTCTTTTTTTTTTTTTTGATTAAAAGAAGATCATTTTAATGTTCAGTGGCAAAATATTTGGATTAATAACTCTCAGTCTATCTCAAACCTTTTGAATAATATAAAACATGAATAAATAAAGAAAATTCATTAGGCTATTGAAGTGATCTAAATCAAGACACATTTATCTTTCTTTGTTTTAATGTATTTTATGTGAATGAGTAAATTTACATAAAGTCCAAAAACAACATAATAACTGCAAAAGTTCTCAAAAAACAAGTGCTGTACTATAATTCCAAATATTGCATGTAAAGTTACATTCTCCTGGGACTAGATTCATAGAAGACAGAGCTGATAAATATTCCCCTTAGAAATTGCAGAATAAGAGATTTAGTGATTTTCTCTATAGAAGTATCTGTTTCTAATTATTTATTTAGCAAGGTATTAGAAACACAGTATTACAGATTAATAAATTTTAAGTATATTTATAAGTTACTTAGGTGATGCCAAGTTCATTTTTTGGTTTATTTAGATATCATAAAACTTTAAAGGGGAAGTCATAATTTAAAGTGTCTAAAAGTACTGATTGACACTTCTATCCCTCCACACACCCATAAGCTTATATTCTCAGGATTAGATTATAAATTGAGCCCACAGATTCTTTCAGTAAAATAAAATAAAATATAACTATATTAAAAATATGCATATTTTAAGTACATTAAAAACCAGAATATAAATGAGATTTTTCTTCTTCCCCCGACAGACATTTCTTAAAAATGTAAATCTGATTTGAAGAAAAAAGTGCCTGGAATCATATTAACTGTACAAAGAGATGAAGCATCTAATTTTATGGTGTATTTAGATGAGTAAAATAAGAGACTTCTCAGAAATAACTGATTATTTGTGTCCTTTCATACAGATCAGTCTTTCTTGGTTTATCTTCGTGTACAGAGTATTTTGAAATTTTTTAAAAAACAAAGTTTAAATCACACAACGTATATAGAATATTAAAAAAGTATGATATTCTTTTATTTTTGCTAGATATATATTCTTTTTTTTTTTTTTTAAAGATTTTAGTTATTTGACAGAGAGAGCACAAATAGGCAGAGCGGCAGGCAGAGGGAGAAGCAGACTCCCTGCTGAGCAGGGAGCTGACACAGGACTCGATCCCAGGACCCTGGGATCATGACCTGAGCCAAAGGCAGAGGCTTAACTGACTGACCCACCCAGGCAACTTAGATATATATTATTTTCTTACATGGTTTATGTTCCGTATGGGTATGGATTAAATATATAATTATGTAAATTATGTCTGAGAGCACTGGTGAGAAATGATTTTTGGTATATGATTTAAGTAATATGCTTGTTGAATAATCATGTATGAAGTCCACTTTTGTAACCCTTTTTAATAATATTTAAATATATTTATTCAAAATTTGTCTTAATTGCACTAATTTGAAATATGAATTTTATTAAAATTGAAATATGAAAAATCTGTGTTGTTTTTCTTTGAATTGAATATATTTGTAGCAGAGGTTATACTATTGAGATATGATTATTATATATGTATATATGAATAAATATGTATTTTTTAGACAGCTAACTAGTCTTCTGAGAAAATTCCTATCTTTTTGAAGTTTGAACATATGATAGTGCTGTCTTAAATAAAAAGAGGAGAGAAATGTGTCATGGAGTTAGGAGAATATAGGCGTTGTCCGGATGCTCTGTTTAGAATTTTTTTTTTAAGTAATCTCTACACTCAGTGTAGAGTTTGAACTCATGACCCTGCAATTAAGAGTCTCATACTCTACTGACTAAGCCAACCAGGTGCGCTCTATTTAGGATTTAACAACATATCCTGATACATTAAAATAGTTTCATGTAAAAACAATGAAAAAATGAGAAACCTACAATACAATGATAGAAAACCCCATACTTTTATTTATTATTATTATTTTTTAAGATTTTATTTATTTGAGAGAGAGAGCATAAGTGGGGGTGGAGGGAAGGGGCAAAGGGAGAGAGAGAGAGGGACAAGCAGACTCCCTGCTGAGTGTAGGGCCCTATGTGGGGTTCGATCCCAGGACTCCAGGATCATGACCTGAGCCAAGGTCAGCCAATTAACTGACTGAGCGACCCAGGCACGCCCCCCAATCTTTTTAAAGTAGACAAAACAGGGCATAGTCAGTACAGTCATTGACTTCACTCTATTCATTCCCACCATTTGTGTTGGTATCACAGATGCAAGTATGTCTGCACTAGCCAGTGCTTTTATTTTGCAGCACCTTTGGTCTCTCCCATAACTCCCATATCCTGTCCTGTCTATGTATGTAAACATACATACTCCTTTATCCATCAGAGAAACAAGCTCAAAAATGCCCTTTGGCATTTTTCAGGAATAGTGTGAAACTAGATTTTCAATTTTTAGTTTTATTTATTTTGCTTATGAGCAAAGACAAATAATTATGTTTAAAAAAACATGGGAGGAGGCAGAATGGAATTTTGCAGTAATGCTATGTAATAAAGAATGAGAATACCATATTTTTAGTTCATTGCACTTAACATAGTAATTATAATCTTTACAACATTTGGAAAAATGAAGTAGTTTTTGCTCATAACCATCTAAGAGCTGGAGTGCTATTTTTATAAAAGGGAAGAGGCTATTGAATAATGGCAAGTAAGAACTTAATGGTGAGACATGTGTGGCTGAAATAAAGAAAATAGCCTTAAGGGACTTCATGATTAGTATGGTTTCAATAAGATAAATTATTTCAGATGGAGTTCTATGAAATTAGATTTTAAGCATTCCCACAGATGACTACTGTGCCTCAGAAATGTATTCTATGCCATATATATATACACACACACACACACACACACACATATATATATATATATATATTTAAAGCCTACAGGGATTGATTAAAAATATCTCCAGTTAAAAAGATGTTTATTTTATTGCTTGATACTCATTTTCTCATTATATTAAACTCAACAGGGAGAGCTTGAGAGAGTAATGAATAAAAAGACCCTTAATTTATCTCCATAGGGGGTGCCTGGGCGGCTCAGTTGGTTAAGCGACTGCCTTCAGCTCAGATCATGATCCTGGAGTCCCGGGATCGAGTCCCACATCAGGCTCCCTGCTCGGTGGGGAGTTTGCTTCTCCCTCTGACCCTCCCCCCTCTCATGCTCTCTCTCTCCCTCATTCTCTCTCTCAAATAAATAAATAAAATCTTAAAAAAAAATTTATAGAGAAAATTTTCTCACATGGGGAAATAAGTGATTGAAAG